TGTTAACGACAGTCAACGTTCATGAGTGCGCTATAGGTGGTTATGAAAATTATTCTTGGTCACATCGTTCTTCTCTTGCATCGGGGTGTATTCGCAAATCAGGGATGTGTTAAAATTTTGGATGTGTTAAAATTTTGGATTGTGGCGAGATGTTCATCCACTGGGATGAATGTCAGTTTTCGGCGACGGAGTCTCTCCCACCACGAATTCGATACCAAATTTCGCGCTGGGCAATGGTACCTTCCCAATGAAGGGGCCGAACATTCCAGGTGCATTTTGGTTTCAAATTTTCTTAGGGTAACGTACATTTCCTGTAGATTTTTTCTGTTGTCAAACCATGTGAACCCATTTGGATTTAGATCACGTCTAAGTTTTTGCGGTAATTAGTGATTGAGTTTCTCTACCATTTTACGGGGTTGCCACCGACTACGCATATTTTATGCTCGGGTTTTAAAGCCGTGTGGTGGCTTGGCCGCTGCCATAGCAAGACCATTAGTACAGGTTAAAAATCGCGTTCTTCCAGAGATGATCCTACAGATCTATACCCTGAAATCCTTGGTGTATTGAAATTTCCTGCCCATTGGATAACAGACTGGGTCGTCTGACTGTATTCGAACGTAAGTCAACAAAATTTCAGCGTGAGCTTTCACTAAAATAGCAAACATCAGATGGTTTAACGAAAAAACTTGTAACGTGACTAGACAGCCTTGTCCTGTACTGGACATAAAAACAAGGAATCTATTCAATTCAAATTGATACAATCGGATCTTCCTAGACTAGTTCACATCTATACAATAAGCTGTTTACTAACTGAAAAAGGATTAATGTGCCTTCCAGTAGAAGAATGGTATACTCTTCGAATGATTTTTGTCCAAGCTGCAGAGATGAAGAAGAGGAAGAGTTCTGTCTCAGTCCTAAGCACTCTACGACGTAAAAACCTAGGATATCACACCTTTCATTGTATGGCTGAGGTATTAACGGCTGCTGGGCCGATATAGTGTCTTTAAAAAGGGACAGGTAATAACCTTAAATTGCTGCTCAGAACACACTTGCTGTAGCCCTTAACGAGCTGCTGGAATTAGATATAAAAAATAATCTTTCCCCGAAAATGAATCGAACAATTTCTTCTTATAGCAAGGATCTCGACATACAAACCACAGGTTTAACTGATACCAAGTCGTTGGTCGAATTAAAGTTCCAATGACTCGTGAACTTTTTTGAACTCTTCGTTATTGAAATCGATGATTTTAGCGCCAGGAGACAAAAATGCAATAATGTTTTTTAATGTATTTTTGTATTTAAATATGCATCTGTGTATGTATTTATGTAAGTAATTTGCAAATATTTAAATTCAATTTTGATCAAATCAGCTCACAGTGCGTTTCGATCGCAGGAATAAAGAAACACATTGCCGATATTTTCTTTCCTTCTCTCTTGCATTCATAATTAATACTAACCAACCAAGACGCAACGCCTCAACGCAATTGGAAATGCAGCAAAGCAGAGCGAAGAACCGCGGAAAAGTGCTGCCGAGAGCTTCTAACTAGGAATCGAGCTATTTTAAACTTTATCACACATACAAGCATGTAAATATATATATATATATATATATATATATATATATATATATCATTTGTTTGTTAATTACAGTCATACTTTAATTATAATTATACTTTAATTTTTATCTTGAAAAGGGAAATTCCACTGCATTTATAAATTTTAAATTTGCTTTGCAAAAGAAAAATCACCTACATACATATGCAGCATATCTACATGCCTACATTTGCATACATACACATTTACCGATTTCGATATCCCTATCTCATATATATCTACATATATATGTTCTTTTGCGCGTAAATATGTATGTATGTGTACCTGGAAAGTTTGATCTGCTCCGCCTACAATGTCACTTGACGCGACGCGAGCGCAATGACGCTAAAAAGTCATGACATCGCGCACTCGGCGTAACGCTGCGGATACGCTTACTTGCTTCAGATTGGCCATTCAAGCATTAACTCCGCCCGGTTGCGTATTGTTAGCCATTCAAAGCAGTCATACAGCCGCAACGAGCAAATATACACAAACTCACAGGCCATATTCAACATACACAGGCTCACAAGAGTGCATTAGGGTGTTCATTATTTCATTTTTAAATGAAATATTAATTCTCAAATATGGATAATTACTATACTACTGCTATATGTTATAGTCCTCCAATTTCATAGATTTTCGGTACTATTGTTTATTTGTATATAAGTGTGTAGAATACCAAATTTCACGTTCCTGGATATATTTCTGACAAAGTTCCGAGAAAACCCTCATTTCTGAACAGTTAGGTGTATGGGAGCTGTAAATCATAGTTCTTCGATTTCGTTAATTTACAGTACTAATGTGTAATTCAAATTCATACGTGTGATGAGTAACAAATTTCTCGTTCTGAGATGCCTTTTTGACGGATACATGATCTGAAAAATCGGTAGTATACATATATGCTACAGTAGTCATATATGGCCAGTTCCGATATGAACCTGTGTACCATGAAATATTTCAAAAATCGAAGGACTAGTTTTAGTGGAAGTCAAAAGACGGACAGGACATCAACTCAGCTGATCATTATTAAGGTGATAATTTTGATATTCATTTATCTTTCTATAATTAATTAATTTATAAATATTATTAAATAATCTTTTTTAAAAAAATGGATAGCAAAGGGAACTTTTTTGGGCTTGAACTTACGATTTAAGACTTTATAAATAACGGTTGCCCTAATGCATTTGCTTACTCTAGCATATGAAAGCAAAATGACTGACACACAGAGTGTCTCACCAATACATATTGACTATTGGATTTGGATACTTATCTAAATGTGAGACGAGAGGATCAATGTTCAAAGGTATGTACATATATGTATACTATCACAGTTGTTTCTGTATGAACCCGTCGGTGTTTATTAAAAAGGCCCAAATTCTTTTTAAATCGTATAATTTTATTCCCAACGTAACTATTGTATTTATCAGTAACTGGCCTATTCTCTCGAGGTATTAAAATTTACTTTGGTATTAAAATTTACCATTCAGTAAATTTTGTTACCATTTCGTATTCTGAGCTCACTGTTACCCTGGAAATTTTGTTACCCGCGAAATAGGAGGTAAGAAAAAATCTTCTGTTTGATTTTCTGTTGTTAGTTTGAGAAAAAATAAAAAACCAAAATGGGTAGGCATATCTGAGGCCTAAAATTCAATGAAGACGAAGAAAAAAGTGCAAAAAGAGGTATTTTAAGAAGTTTGCGAGAAAAAAATCACCCTTTTAGTGTTTTCAATCAGCTTTTTTATCGTTTAGGCATATTTTTCATATTTAGGTTCAAATATTTATGACTAAATAAATAATAAATAAAACTTATTTATTTTGTTGTGCACCGTCTTCCATTTCAATGTGAATATTATACTTTTTTACTATACCAACTGGCAAATGTAATTTGACAAGGACAAAAAAAGCAGTGCTGCCAAAGTTTATTCAAACAGTGCAACCAACATAAATTTTTGTTCGACCATGAAGAGGGGCACTGAAAGTTTTTCTCATATTTGAATGTAGTTTGGGGAGAAGAATACCAGAAAAAGAAAACCCACTTGAGCTCACATGTATACAAACGATCTTGTTATCATTCGTAGAACAACGATCAAGACATTTCAGCGGCACGAGGGAAATTGCTCAAAATATTTGCTATCTATCAAAATTCAAGGAAACATTATTAACTTTGGTCCGAAGTATGCAGGCACCAGGAGTAGAAGAGTTAGGATATTTAAAAATTTATACCGATCGGGTCCGAATGGCGAGTTGAGTTCATTTGACCGTGTCCGACTGTCCATCTGTACGTCTGTTATGTAAATGAAGTATATTCAAGAATTTTAGTGAGTGTTCAGAGCTGAAAAATCAAACTTTAATAGAGCTGCCTTATAATCTAAGATCATGTAGAATTCACATTATTCTTCCAATTATTAATTTTTCTACTGTTGAAAAGTACTTCTTTACTGAATAAAGGTTTCCAATAAGAGGTGTTATTTTGAATAGCTCTATACTCCGCAAAATGTCACTTTTGAAGCTGTAAAAACATTGCCAGTAATAAAAATGGAACGGAACACTCTTCAACAACGCATTCAAATTATTAAAATCATTATAAAAATTTCTTCGAAAAATTATATTGATAAATGAAGCCGGTTTCCACCTCGGTGGCTACTTCAATAAGCAAAACTGTAGCATCTGGGCCACGGAAAATTCAATTTATTGTTTATGGTCCGGCGGGCTCATTGGATCTTACCTTTTCAAAAACGAATGGATTGCGTTATCGAGAGATGATTCATGATTTGGTCAGAATTGGATAGTATTGATCTGGACAACGTTTACTTTCAACGACAAGGCGCTACTTTCCACACAAGCAACGAAACCTTCAAACTTTTAAGGGAAATGTTTCCTTGTAAATTAAAATAACAAGTTGGAGAACCCACCAGTTTCGTCACAGATTTTTCCATTAAAATGGATACTCTCTCACCCTCAAATCCGCTCCTGTGCCACTAACAACTGTGCACATGACGTTCTTCATTTTTTCTTTGCATTTGCGCATATACGAATGCAATGCAGCGCCATTAGCTCGCACCAATACACACATAGATACTTGCCCATCACCTTAATGTATTATTTATGTGTATGATCGCTACCAACGGGTCGATGCCAATGAATAACCAAACAGAAATAACACAAATACATTGATAATTGTGAAAAAACAACAACAACAACAACAACAACGAAATATAGCGCCAACACCAACAATAACAATATGAAATTTGTTCGCCGCCGTTGGCATATATGGTGCATATATATATGTATGCACACGTATGTATGTATGTATGTGATGCTAGCTAGACATGGCTGAAGCGATCACTCTTGGATGCTGTAGATCGTTGTTGGGCTAAATGTGGTATTAGTTGAAACGAACGCGGCGGTTGGCGAACAACACGTTTGTGGGCTAAATATTCGAATGCGTGCTCGATGAGTATTTGAAAAAAAACAGTGGCAGAACGTGTCGCGTCGCTTCGCATCAGAACGCATCAATTATATTGATCGTGCCGTGGTATATCGCATCGCAGAGCAACGCGTCGAAACGAATCGAATCAGATCGGTGGTGCTCAATGGTGGCGATATATGATTGCGCTTACATAAATACATACAGATGTGTGTAAAGAATGAACTTCAAAATCTTTGTGATTGGAGGAGAAAATAAACAAAACAAGAAAAGTCGGCGATTGCGGGTGTTACATCTTTTTGTTTTTGTAATTTGGTAACTTATTTACACGTGTTTGTTGTATTTGTGTGCATTTTTTACAAACTTTTCGTTGGAGCTGTTTGATTGATGATTGATGTTTGATCGTTTGTGTTTTGTGATGAATGCTTTTTAGCAATCGACATATGCGCTTTAACGGTGAAGCTGAACGGTGACAATAACGCGGTTAAAAAAAATACTTGAAGCAAATATAATATTTTAGGTTCTACGCACAAACTGCTTTAGCGTCAGTGTTGACCCTAGTAAAATCATTGATCGTGTGATCCTTTATTTCCTCGAAGTTTTGTGCTGATGATCTGCTGGTTATTTGCTGTTAAACTACAAATTTATTAACAGTGCTTGCCGCATACGTTTAATGCTCTGCCCCTATGTAAGTGCAAATGATATATATACATACATACGTACGTAAATGAAAAGTGAAGTATAAATCAAACATTTTTAACAAATTAAAAGAAACACAAAGAAGTGTTAATAAAATTCCCTGCTGCTTGGCAATTGATCTTCGTAAGAGTGTGTCTTAAACCGGCTCGCAACTTGCATAGAAACTAACGCACACAACGGCGGATGGAAAGACATATTTGCTAATTCATTTACTTATTGTATATGCATACATAGATGTTTGCAAAAAGTGTTTAACAACAGTGGCAATAATTGCTAAAATTCATAAAGTTTAAGTGGAAACTGTGAGGGAAATTCCCAGAAGTGGAGAGCAGAAAAAGAAGAGGAGCAAAATTTAAGAATAAACTATTGATTTGACCGTAATTAGCAAAAATTCAAATGGATCCAGGTAAAAACTTCATTCATCACTCATGATAATTGAACAAAAAATATTTCTATACTCCTACATACATACATATGTATATGAGTGTAATTTATTGAAACATACGGATATATTTTCTGTATCAAAGCATCACTATTTTTGGCTAAAATAAGACCATTTCACCTAACATTAGCTTCAAGCTAAATTTAGATGGCGATGTATTAGCCGTCGGTACTTTATATCACTGTAAAAATTAATCGATATCAGTTATATGACAATTAAATAAGTAAAAAGTGTGTCCACTGAAACTAAGGATGGAGTAGAATAAAACAGAAAAAAATATCAGTAGCCCAAGTTGGAGGCATTCTGCTGTTTTTTTTTGTTTTTTTATGAATTGGTTTTCAATGGGACAATACTAATTTCCGAGTTGGTGTGCCATTCCATAATGAACAGACTTACTCCGGGCGGCTGCGGTAGCCAAGTGGTTAGCATTGCGTACTGCCATTCGGAAGACTCGGGCTCAAATCCCGGTGTGACCAACAGCCAAAAGTTATGGAAAATTAATTTTAATAATAAATTAAGTTAGATTTTCTAATTTCGGTCGCCCCTCGGTGGGGAATGTCAACAACCACTCTGTGTATATTTCTGACAAGAAATAAAGCTCCCCTTAAAAAAAAAAGATGCAAAAACCCACAAATTGGAGGAGGAGCTCGGTCGAAAATCGCTTCAGCGGTTACAAAGCGCCATATCCTCCCTACAAATCTATCCATACATCTATGGTTCGCTTCGCGTGAAGCTTGGCGCAGCAGAGGTGAGCAACTATGAATCGAATTCGCCCCAATTTTACTCTAATGGATAATACGCATCCTCAGAGAACACGTACAATACGAATATGTATATATTCGTGCAGTGGGCACCGATGATGCTATTGCTGCTGATGGGCAGAGTCTCGAAGAAGAACCAAACGAAGATTTGCCTGAAGGATCATGGTTTGCGTGCTTAAAAAATCCAGCTTTCCCAAGAATTTATGCCGAACGACCATGAAGTGCGTTGCAAGTTCGTTGAATGCGCACAAAACATGATGGCCACCAATCCCGAAATTTACAACAAAATTTTCTTCAGCGTTGAGTGGTGTTTTTGACGCATCTGAAGTGATTATAATTCACACACCATTGTTGAGACGCCGTTACATCCTTAAAAGACACCAAACAGGGTGTGCTCTATGCAGAGGGAATTATTGGTCTTGTTCCACATTCCCTCGAAAATGAAAAAGATGTTGCAGTTAATGGGAAATGCTATAGAAGTCATGACTAATGATTAATAAATTCATGTGATTTAATACCGCTGGACTATTTTTGGTGGGGTTACGTGAAGTCGCTTGTCTACGCAGATAAGTTTCGTGATCATTGACGCCTTGAAATAGAATATTTGACGCAGTATCACTTTCATACGGCTCTTATTGCTGCAAAAAGTGGTCAAAATTGAGCTTCTCGGCTAGAATTTATTTGTGTCATTCGCGGAGGTTATTTGATCGAAATCGTTTTAAAAGTAAAATGACAAGCCCTTATCTTTATAATGAAACTAAATTATTGGCCTTAACATTTAATTATATGCGTCTGATTACTTCTAGAAGACCACAGGTCTAAAAGAAATTCCCTTACTTGCTCTAAGTTCTTATTCTTCTTTATTTGCCTCCTCAGCGATTACAGTTGAGTTAACAATAGCGCAACATTCTTTTCTTAGCCACATTGGTGGACACCAAATGAAGCTAGGTTCATTTCCACCTCCCCTTTCAACGGCGTATACTGGGTATCGTAATTTTCGTTGTGTTCAAATTATTTGGTGTTTTCAATGATTGAGTTGAGGCCGAGTTTGTGAGAGATCTGTGCAATCACACATCAATTGGAATACTTTTTCTATAATTCCTTTAAGCTGGTAATTGCGGCAACGGCTATTATAGGACCAGACTCATTTTAGAACAATGGGTTTCAAAGTTCCAAAGATCTGTTATTGTAGCTGTGGAGGGAGCTACAGTTCATACTAAGCCGCCTCCGTATGGCTGATGGTTTTCTATGCGTAGCTTTTATTTTTATGTCAAAAATACATTTTCTTTAATTTTCTCGGAACAGGATTCGCATGCTGGCCTTCCGAGTGGCAATGCTAGGCACTCGACTATCACCGACGCCCCTGTTTACGGACATGATATTACTATATTCTTCAGATTCGTCCAAATGTGGTTAAATTGTTAGCTTTTCAAGACCGAAAATGTTCAAATTGCCGAAGTCCAGATTATGGAGATATCGAGTTGGACTGCTAGCGTGGATATAATGGTTGGCGATATTAGAATTTATTATTTTGGACGATGAGCACAGTAATACTTTCTGGCTATCCCAGTATTTAATAGCGCTTTACGTGCTTTCTTTGTCTTCGCGCCTAAGCTTAGCAGACGCTAGCTTAGTTTGGTAGACGTAAGAGAGGGAGATATTAAATCCTAGGAGTATTTAAATATTTTATGCAAAAATAGTATACAAAAACTTCCATTGACGGGTATTCAGAATGTGAACATTTGTTATTTCTAAATGCAGACAATGCTTAGATCATTTTCAGAGATTTATGACTTTAGCCACAAGCGTAGATGCCAAATTATCAAAACGGCATAAAACTACACATCAAAATCAACCCATGAAGTGTGTTTATACTATATACACTATATACTCGTACATTCATACATACTAATGTATGTATATACTGAAACAAACGTACCGTGTATGCCATAAAGTGCGTGGCGATGAGCTGTTCGAACACATCGCATCAACTGTTAATTGAAAATCAATAAGTAAATAAATTCTCAACAAAAATGTTGTCAAATAAATCCGTCAATTTTGGACCACCAAACCGGTAGCCATACCAAAGGGCCAACGAAACAACAACGCAAACAAAAGTAAATAAAGCGATGAAGGAGTCAAGGGAAGCGCAAAGACAGTAGATAGTAAATATGTACGCGGATCTACCCATACAACACACACACACATACACATACATACATACAGATGGAGTTCAGCAAGTCAAACAAACATCAAACATTACAACGATCATTAGTTAAATTAGGAAGTCAGTCAACGGTTGGCAAGTCAGCGGTAGCTTGGCTTACAACTAGACCAACAACACAAACATCAACATCAGTGGTACTACCAGGCACAACGCTTGGCTCGTACATATGCACACACACATATCTGTGTAACTATGTTGGTCAATGATCATTTTGAATGGTGGCAAACAGCTACCGACTGGCGGGCGATCATGCGCAACAACAAACGACACGTTGCATCGAAAATCGTAGACAAACAAACAAACATATGTATGTACATTTGTATATGTGTGTATATGTATGTATGCCTATGCAGTCATAAAAAGTAAGTAATATAAGATAATGTATTGAAAGCGTTGAGTTCACAGATGAGTCCAATAAAAAATATTATAGTATGAACTAAAGCCAATGTTTACTTTGTACTTGGCAGTCCAGAAAGACAAGACGATAGCCCCAACCATGAGTGATGGCATGATCAACAGCCACCGTATGTGTGTTTGTGTGTTTGTGAGGATGGAGGAACTATTGATGTGCCCGAACACAGGTTGAGATCTCGATTTAGTTGCGGGAAGCTTTGAAGAATTGAGATTTCAGCGCTGAAGTGTTTATATTGTGTGTCGTGCATTCTTCAAGTTGTTGATAGAGCACTTCAGCTACCAGCTCATATACTATGGTATACCTACAGCACGTAACCTGCATAACTGGACAAAGCATTCAAAAACATTAAGGAAACGCTCAATAAGTGCCGCCTAATAAGATCTAAGTGCCAATTAAAAGATGAAGATTAAGCATCTTATAGCAGATTTGGAGTGCGACCAGATCGGATGTTTATATGATATGATATGATATATCTATTCGTCAGAGCGCAATGCGTTAAAGAATTCTAGGCAGGAAATATATATTGTAACCTAAGAAGATAACTGACAACATCTAATAAAGTACCTTCAGCCGGACTACTCGTACATCAAAATAGGCATAGGCAAAATGGCAGCTATGTACTTGTCGAGAGACAAAAAACAAAAAAAAAAAAACACTTCTGCAATGCATTTAAGAATTTTATATGTAATCGGAAAATAAAATCAGGATTCCTGTCTTTCTACGACTTATAGACCAGACCTAATACTCTGCCTATTCAAGCTTCTACAGCTACCTACAACTTAAAATTTGGAGAAAGGAGCATATTATTCACATAAATCAATATTAGGCTTATCTTCCCGAAGAAAGCCAAAAATCACACTCCGTAACGAGATAATTTCCCAGTATTGCTTGAAAATGTACCGCTAAACAAATAGATATCAACCCACCAGCGAGATCCGATGGTAATGTCGGCCTGATCTACTCAAATACGCATTTTCGTGTCCAAACAAAAGGAGGACACAGTCTTTTATCTTGTGTTCGGCAAGAACTCCCCACGCCTTGGGATATTAAACGAAATTGCAGCAAAGGCGACTATCCATAGGTTAACGTCTTAGTCAATGTAAGAGAAAATAGGAAGATCTGCAGAGCTAATTATAATCCTTTATAAGAGTGTTCAACGGGTACTGGTGTGCGCCGGTGATATTGGTATTATGGACCTCAACAACCGCGCCGTTAGTTCTACTTTCTCAAGACCGGATAAGGCAGCGAAGCGTATAGGTCTGATAATGAGCGGAGGCAAGATAAAATATCAAAAACGATTTCTGACTTGAAATTCAGCACCGAACTGCGTAGGCAAATTGAAAAGTAAACTCCTCTCTCTATGAATGAAGGCTTAACTCTACAAATTCCGGCTTGTCATATGGTAAGGCATTGGCATTGGCAACAGCTGATGATGACACGAGATAGATGCGATGTAGACCGCGGCTATTCTAGTTAGGGACATGTTGTTGAAATGGATGAGAGCACTCCAGCTCTGAGAGTATTCGAGGTAATAACCGCCGGTGGAAACAGAGTAAGAGAG